CAGAGGAAGGTAAGGGGAGGGAAAGGGGAGAAAAGGAAGAGGAGCATGTGGGAGAAAGATAATGGGTTGACAGAAGGGGAGCTATGATAGGGTCTGGTCCATGGCGGTGTCTCTGTGTCAGTGCTACAGCACACCACAGTATCAGGAGACTCACTGACTCACTCTGTCTCCAAGGATCTTGAAAAGTGAAGGAAACTTAACAAGCAAAAGTTTTGAATGTTGGACAGTTTATGGATTGACAGAAATCAGAGAAAGTGAAGGAGAACAGAGGTTCCCACATACACAATAGAATACTTCTCTTCTCCCTTTACAGGTTAAAATATAAACATCAAACACATTATAAGATCTCACATGTACAAATACACACACACACAGTAAGAATGTTAATATAACAATAGGATTAAGGTTAAATCAATTAAAAAAGTTAGAATATTATTTTATTAACAAAAGTCACCCGCTTTAGAGCAATATTCAACCCTTTGCTTTGTTTTTCTAGATTGTGACTTTACTGTTTTCGTACAGTCTTAAGGCTTTTATAGAATCTTTTTCCTCCACAGTTGGCAGCTTTTTTCATTTAAAATTCAAATTTTCTCGACTTTGTGTTACTTGCTCAGCACCAAACAGCAGACAGATACAGTTAGCAGCTAGCTCGTGGAGCAGCTAAAGAGCCAGATATTTTCCTTGTTTGTTAGTGGAGATCAAAATCAGAGCTAAAAGAAAAGTGAATATTGGACTTAGATTCTTCAGGTGGAAGAAGAATGAATGTAAGTCCAATATTCCTCAGTTGGCAAACATGAGTCTAATGTCTAAATGAATGATAATGTTACTCTGTATCTGGAAGTGTTTGCTTTTATCTTGATACTGTTTGTCATTAGCCAGGTTTTCATCCAAATGTAGCACACATTTAACCAAGTTTACAGAAAATTGACAAAAGAAAATGCCAATTATTGTGTGTTTCCATCCACTGCCATTATGTGAATGTTAGAAGTTCAAGATAAACAGCTGGTGAGGCAAATTTTCCAGTTGAGTGTCATTAAACCATTGCAGAAGAAGAGGACACAAGATGACGTTATTAAATGAGCTTCAGTCAAACCATGTATTTGTCTTCTGGACAATTAAATATAGGAAGTTGTTACTCATCCAGCAATTAACTTCTGACAAACAGTTCTCTGCTTTCTCAAGCTGGGCGTGGTCACTGGCTGTTACAGGAAGATAGATTTGTGTCGTCAGCATAGCAATGAAATTTATGTTGTCGTTTTTTGGAGGATGTGACCAAGTGACAGCATGTGAACACAGAACAAATGTGGTCCAAGTACTGATCCTTGTAGAGCTCTGTATTTAACCGTAGAAGAGGAAGATACAGTATCGTTGTAAGCAACACATTCTGGTTCTATCACTCAGATATGACTCTACCTGTTTACCTGCGAGTTTATTAATGCACCATTAGCTCAGGAACCAGCATAAGTTATAGATGGCACAATATCTCATCTAACATAATTCATTTTGCTCCAGAAAATACTCAGAAGGAAGAACATATTGGAAATACTGCAAGGTATATTAAGAGTACTAAAAGGCAGGTGATGGTTTGTGTCCCAAAGGAGAGAAGAAAGCATCATGGAAAACACACACTCATACACACACACGTTGGCTTTTATCCTAAATGAGCAGGCCAGCCAAAGTCATCTGGAAGCTTTCACATGCCAATGAATAAATAAAGCTGTAATTAGTAAAGAAAACAGCGCCACCTGTTGGTGTCCCACCCTGGTGAACTCAGACCATTATAGGGTGCTGTGGGAAACACCTGAGCATGCAAAGGCTGTGTTAAAGGGCTGGCACACATACACAATGTGTGTGTGTGTGTGTGTGTGTGTGTGTGTGTGTGTGTGTGGGAGAGAGAGAGAGAGAGAGAGAGAGAGAGAGAGAGAGAGAGAGAGAGAGAGAGGAAGTTTTTTCATGTGGGCCACCCGTGTAACCATGTGTGTTGCATGGCTTCCATTTGTAAAGAGGCTTACTGAGCATATGTGTTGGTATTGTGAGAGTGTGCGTGTGTTTGTGTGCTCCTCCGTGTCCGTGTGTGTGTGTGAAGGGGTCCAACTGCTTGTCCTGGGGCCCACCTGGCAGCACTGTGCAAATTCTGGGGCCTGAGCAGCTGGCCTGGGGGCTGGTGAGGGTGTTCGGTGGGGAGAGGTTTGAGAGGGGTGTGGGGGGTCTTCCATTGCCCCTGTCCCACCAGACCCAGACAGTAGGAGGCAGATGGACAGGCCACAGCCACTGCCAGAGGGCCAGAGGGGCCACAGGGCCGAGGGAGAGGGCCAGCCAAGACCAACTGAACTCACACAAAGAAAGAAAACACGCACACACAAACACAGTAACAGATGAAACACATGCAAAATACAAAACTCGTTGAATTTATACTGATCATTAGATACTACTTATCATTCCTCATTTTTTAATTGTAAAATGGTACATGATACATATACAACAATGACAGCAGATGAGAAGAGCGGCATAGTTGGGTTGGTTATCCATGGTGTACAGTGCATTGCAAGTGTTGTGTTATCATTTCCATTTTTAGTTGCTCCACTGGAGGATAATCACATTCTATTACAGGTTGGCTCTTATTTTCAAAGGTTTGGCCATCATTTATACTGATTTTAATAACTTTGTGTTCACCAAATGCTGAGATCAGATCCCAAAAATAAGTTTAGTTTTTTAGGGTCTGACGACCCCCCAGGTTAGCCAGACTTTATAGAGAAATTGAAAGCTATGGTAAAATTGTGACCGAAACTGTAAAATTGTGACTTATACAGTTTACAAATTGAATTTCTGGTTCAACTTTGACCTACCATGCTTGCTGTAGGGATTATTAAAGACATTTTTGGTGCATTGACTTTCTGTTTTACCTCCAAATAAAGTTGTTTTTAGATAATCTAGTCAAACTGGTGGCCTGATTGCAACCTGTCTGATCGCCCTGTGCTTGTGTGTCTTGCTCTGTTCAAATTCTTGTCAATATGTCACAGGGATCCCAAATCTTAGAAATTATTTTTAGATGAGTACAAAGTTAATAGAAATGATATGAATGATGGCCAAACCTACTAAAATAAGATCCAAATTGTAACAAAGTGGAATTCTTTAGCTTGTTCACTGATATTAGCTTGGATTTTTCTATGAATAGCAGTGTCTGTCCACTACTTTGACTCAGTACAGACCATCAACATATATAAGAGGGACATCGCATCTCCACTTTCTCCCACTGTTCAAAGATGAAGTCGAAATATCCCGGATACAGCTGCTGCCATCTTGCGCTGGTGATGTCATTTGGAGCTTTTGGTAAACCCCTGCCCTTTTAGGTTGACATTTCTGGTTTTAAGTGAAATACCAACTGGATGGATTGTCACCATTCATGTCCCCCACAGAATAAAATGTAATAACGTGTGGGATCTTCATGACATTTCAGCTAGTGCCATCGTCAGGTCAAAAGGTATAATTGTTTATGACCAAAACAGCCTCAGCTGTACTTCTTGTTAAGTGCTGATGAGTACTAAATGTTAGCATGCTAGCATGCTAAACAAAGAAGGCGAACATGCTAAACAATACACCGGCTAGACATCAGCTTGTTAGCACTGTCACTGCGACCATGTTAGGACACTGACGTTAGCAATTAAAGCTATAGAGTGGATGGATGACGCTACTACAGGACAACAGTGAAAGCAGGTGTGTTGCATTAAAAAATCTGAATAAAGTAGAAAACACACAATAGTCTATACTGTACACGTATTTATGTAACATATATCCACCAATCATCAAGTCTCTTTTTAAATGTTCTGAAGCTGATTTTAAACATACAAAATAAGACAGATGTTTCTTGAAAACTATTCCTGAAACAGCACCATATGGAGGACTGTTTTGAACACAGTGCGTAGGATTGACACAGAGTTTATTATGAACATGTACTATAGGTGGTGGTGGTGGTGGTGGTGGTGTGGGAGGTAGCCACCGGCTCCAGTAGTCCAGAGAGCCACAGATGCTCCACTGTTTGTGTGTTGACTCTCTGTAATTTGTTTGCTCTAATTTGTTTTGCCGTGCCAGGGGAGTTCCGATTTTAATTTTGCTCTGTGTGTGTTTACCCCTCTTTGTGGATCGCTGATCTGTTAAGCAGAGAGAGAGGGAGAGACAGTCAGTGTGGAGGGTGGGCCGTTCACAGAGCCAAATTAAAAAAGGAGCAGTGCAGATTGTTTTAAGCTCTGGCAGCCCCATCAGGCCCAAAGGCCTCGCTCACAGCCTGCACCTGCTCCGTCCCCCGGGAGCCTGGTTCCTGATCCGTGGCCCTCGCTTCTCCTCCCCGGGCCCCTAGCCCAGCCGCCTCCTTCTCTCCTCTCGTTCCCACTCCTATTTTTATTTGTCTGCTTTTTCTCCTCCCCATCAACTTCCCTCATTTTCCTTCCCTTCTGCAGCGTTCATCCTCTTCCTCTTAAACTTTAACTGGCCGTCTCTCCATTCCAAAAACTCCTGATGCTCCTTTTCTCCTCCCCAGTGACTTCCCTCTATCCATTCACTTCTCAGTCCTGGCCTCTTCACCCCTTCTTTCCTCTCCACCACCTGCTCCTCTCCTCCTCTTTATCCCTCCTCTCGCTCCTGGTTACTTCCACCTTTTGTTTTGCCTCTTTGCCCTGGCTCAACTTCCTCCTCACCCCCCTTGTAACTTTTCCTCTTCCAGTTCCTGCTCCTCTCTCCTCTCTCCTCCTGTCTCGCCTCCAGCGGCTGGCAGAGTCTTAATCAGCCCCCCTCCGCACCTGAATGATTGCGACTTGTTAGCCTGATTGAAAACACACAACCATACATAAAATACAGTTAGAGGTATGACAATATAACACAATCTGGGGGCTATTATGATTACTAAACTACAGTGCAGAACTCAATAAAGTGGCGTCACGACATCAACAGCCTTTTATTAACCCGAGATGCATAAGGATGCAGATTAAACTCATAACGATGGCCTGTTTAAAATTGTCACAGCTATTCTTTATTGAAATGATCCAGTCGCTCCAGTTTATGACTGCACATCCATAGGTAGTTTGATCAGTCAGCTCCACATACAGTATAGTACACTTTGTCACACATACAATATTTACATACATTACCCCAACAGTAATGCTATGACATGGTTCCAATAACAAGACATTTAGTTTTAATATGGCTTGATTAAAGCAGTCCAACTGTATATGATGCCCAGCCTGGATGAGGCGACGCGAACCACAGGATGACATGATGGAAGAAGGTTGTCTCTAGAGTCCCAGAGTCTGGATCAAACATTAGCCTTCTGTTACCAACTCACATATCTGTCTAGGCATATCATTTGAAGTGTCACTTTACCAAAGATGGAAAAAAAAACATATCTTCTCAATTACCCCAAGATGTGGTCCAAGCAGATAATTTTGTGTGTCCAGGTGTCCATATTAGTCTCCAAGATTTCTCCCTCCACTCCAATACAATGAAGGTAAATATGATTTTGTTTGTGGTGCCCACAGTATTGAGGAATGACACTTAAAGCTGCATTAACTGATTTTTTTAAGCACTTTTTTTAGAAGCTGCAAAAACAAGATGCCTTTGAAGTTGGTATGGTAAAGTCAGCCTGCCCTTGCCAGAAAACATGCTGTATAGGTCGATTGTGCAAGCGGCTTACGACCCGTATTTACATTTATTGTCAGGCAGTGACCTCTAGTGGCCATAGTAATTGACGGTGATAAGAATATTAAGAGAGTGTGGGCCGTAAAACCAAAAACATGAAAGCTACTAGTGACTGCTTTCACACTACACATTGTCATTTGATTTTTTGTTAATATAAAAATACTGATTAAAGCAGCTTTAAATCCTTCAAAATAGTCCAGAAACATAGAGGTCCACAGACTTATAAAATGGACTTGCAATCAATTTTGCTCTTAAGTATGACTTGCGCATTATTTATGAAAGCTTACTGTGATGTAGAAATGATCTCATCTCTAAGCAAAGTCTAGACTTGATGTAAGTGAATTTCCTTCCTGTGGTGAACTTCACTTTACTATTAGCTTTATGATAGGAATGTGCTAGGAATTACTAATTAAAGGTGTGAGGAATTAATTGCCAGACGCAAGGTGTTTTGAATTTAAAACAGGATGCGATGTTCTATAAATGGTGTGTCAAATTGGAAACAAGTTACCATGGCTATTCCTGACTAACCCTCATTTGTACTAGCATTATGTAAAGGGAAACGGCTGATTGTAATTCAGGTGCCATCAATTTTAACTTAGTTTGAGATTCATAGATCACAGGTACGTAAGTTACAAATGGGCCTTAGTGTGTCAGAAACTATCTTAAGACTAAGTTTAAGTATAAATCTAAGAACATTTTAGAAAGGAGGCCCCTGGCTGAGAACTATGGCTTGATATTCCAAATTCAAACAGTTCTAACCATTTGAAAAAGGGAAAAAAGTTGTATTTTTGTTTGTAACGGACGTCCTCCGAGGCGCCACAAATAAACAGAACGTCAATTTAAGGGGCCCATGTACAAAAGGATGAGTCCGTACCAGAGCGGCCCCCCTCTCTCTCTGTCCCCACTTTCCTGTATATCTTCAGCAGTTCCTATCTAATAAAGGCAAGCAAAAAAAGAACATCAATTTTACAAGGCGGTTTAGGATTGTGCTACAATTTCATCTGAACGGTTTACATGTTAGTTATCATTTGCTTGAACTTGACTTTTTTGAAAAAGTGACGTTCCAGTTTTGACTGACTTTGTTTTACCAAGGAAATAGCCCTTGTGAAAACAGATGACTGTTCTGGGGATTATCCAAAGTAACAGGAGTTGGACTCAGATGTTGCTGTTGAATTTTGTCTGTTTTCAGTACTATGAGGACCACACACAAAATTCTTGCTCCCTTTATTGTATTGAGGCAGAAGCAGAAATCTTACAGACACATATATCTCAAAACCCAGAGACAAAAACTATTAGTATGGCTCAATACAAGTAGATGAAACTGAGAAACTGTTTTTTTTTTTTTTTTTGGTTAACTGACCCTTTAACAAGTCACATCTACTCTATATGCACCACAATCTTTTTTACAGCGATCGTATTGCCATTATGAGCATTTCCACCATGCTTAACGTGACAGACAAAACACTTCCCAAGACATTTTGGTCCATTTTAAACCCATGGTTTTTAAACTAGCCACGTTTACTTCTGCTGATTTGGTATCCTGACTGTCTCTGCAAAGGCGTTTTCATCAACTGCTTCATTGATGACATTCACGCGCAGTAATATTCACATACACACAGCCAGCATAAGCAGCACAGTCCCCTTGCAGCACAATCAGTACCAGAACACTCAGCGTCCTATACTACTGTTACATACAATTATATTTCCCATTCGTTTGGCCTATACGGTTCTCTACCACCATAGCAGACTGCTCCCATTGAAATAAGGTGAAAATAAATTTCCACTAGTGCAAAATAACTTCTCTCTTTGAGAGCAATAAGAAAACAAAGATTAACAAAAAATATATATTTGACATATCAGATCATATAGAAAGAATAATAAAGTGGCACTGATAACAAATTATATCACAACAAAAACTGTTGCAGACTATTTCCACCCACTTTAGTCTGAGAGAACTAAGGCTGATTTGTTGCAGTATGCACGTATGCTTGCATACGCACATTACACCTACAAACACACCGACAGGTTACCTATGAATGGGAACCACAATATTAAAGTTTAGGACTGAAGGACAAATAATTAAAATGGACTGCAGGTCATCACAGTGGAATGACCTTGATGTTACAGAATAAAGGAGACATCAGGCTGACTGCTGTCTCCATCTAGTGGTCAAATATACAAATTACAGCTCTTTACTTCCACCCAAGAGATGTTAAAATGAATGAATGGAAGCTCCAACTTCACCGATAACGAAGTGCAAGCAAATAATTACTAAATTGGAGAGAAATAAGGATGATAAATGATAAATAAAACAGGCACAAATCTGCTCGTCTTGCCCTCTGACTTCCATTCAATAGCACTACAAGTACATGTAGGGTTGTGGTCTGATGGAGACATACAATACAGTAGATCATGTTTTGATACCAATTCTTCCCACATGCAGTAGCATAAAGGAAATGACGTGAGGATCAATCTGGACTGGCACTCAGTGTCATCTGTGTTTCCTCTCCAGCACACGGCTGGTTAACAGCCGAGACACGGCAGCTGTTCCTTTTAGCCACATGATCAATCTCCACCTGTTCGAAGGGGTTTGTGCGTTAAGACACATGGCGGAGTGGTGATTAGTTGCATCGTTTCATAGCAAGTGAAGTGCCACCTGTCTTGTCTACAACACTCTTCTGTAATCTCCGCACTTTTCATGAGATGAGACATTTCCTCTGTGTTAACCTTTCACAGCACCAGCTTCTGCATCTTGGGACGAGACAAATAAGGCAAAGAGAAGCCGCCACAGGGACAGCTCTGACATTACAGGAGAGAGACAAACGGTACAGTAGCATGTGTATTAGAAGGTTCAGTTTGTATGCTCTGCATATTAATACCCAGTCTGTCCATCAGGAGGGTATATCATTTGGGGTATTGGAAGTGGAGGAGCTGGAATAGTTTCTTCAGCTGTGAGAGCTGCTGTCTGGCAACCTGTCCAGACTGCCAGATTTATCAAGCTAACCAACACGACTTTTCCCGACTCCTGTCAGTCTCAATCTGTCCGCCAATCACGGCCATCCTCAGGTCAAACCTCCAGGTCGGGCATTTTTTCCTCCTTGAGTTGAATATCATTGTCAGAACCCGTGCCCACGTCCGAGTCAAAGAGCGAGTGGTCGGAGTCGGGGGAGTGTGTGTGCGTGTGTCCGGCTGAGTTAGTGCTGGCGTCGCTGTCGTCCAGAGTGTCAGTCCTGGAGAAGAGGCCAAAGTCCAGCAGGCCTGTAGGGGAGCCGCCACTGCTCTCGCTGTCTCCGTCATAGTAAAGATCCTCCACCTCCACAAACCACTCGGGCCAGAACCTCCTCCGCATCCGCTCGCAGAACATGGCCAGGTTGATCAACTCTCCTGTAAAGACATCAGACACAGCAGGTTCACGCGCTCAAGCTTTTACAGGTGCAGTGAAAACCAGCAGGAGGTATTACGGGTGCTTAACTAACAATCTGAGTCTGATACAGAGGAAGACAATACATCTGGGATACTTTGTGAGACATATTTTCTGTTATCCGTTCATTATGAGCCCTTTCATCATAAATTACGTATCAAAATGACAACAGAGAACCTTCAATCGTGGCATTACAAGCTCTGATTTTGCTCTCTTTAAAGATAAGAAATTCAAGTGTTTCCTACTCTGTGTAAGATGTGAAAGCAACAATCAAAGACTGTGTCATCAACACTGCATTGCAGTAGACTATTGCTGCCATCTAGTGGCAGGATCAGACAAATACATCTTTTTTTTTGGTCTTTTCATGCCTTTATTGGACAGAGACGGCTGAATGGGGGGTATAGATCCTCATGCCACAAACTGAGGACAACCAGTGGAAACTCAGATAAATGTATAAAATAATTGATTGTTTTAGTTGTTGTTGTTTCTGTTGTTGTTGTTTTTTAATATACACACACACATGTTTACAGTTTTAACTATCTATTTAATTTTAATTTTATTATATTTTAATACTATATATATTCAATTTAATAATTTGTTATTACTGTTATATTGACAACAGACTACTTGTTTTAACTGTAGCCTGTTACTTTACTACTGTTTTAATTGATTGTAATTAATTACTAATTGACTGAGACTGATTGATTGTGACTGTGATTGTGATTGAGTCAATCATAGTTACAGTATTACCAACAGTATAGATTATAATTAATTTGTTGTAAATATTGTTTTCCTTTATTGTTATTATTATTATTTTTAATTCCAAACGCTTGCTTTAGCAATATGTACAGCGTTACGTCATGCCAATAAAGCCATTTGAATTGAACCGCAGGTCAGATTCGAACCCGGTCCACTGTAGTAACTCCGTACATGGGTTGCCAGATCTACTGACTGAGCTAACCAGGCGCCCATGGAACAGACAAATACATCTTGACACACCGGCAAAGGTAAACTGTAAATCACAATATAAGCTGTCTATATACTGCAAACACAGGGTAATTACAAAGCTTTAAACTAAAGCAACAGTGTCTACAGTAAACACTCAATGATTTCATTCATCTGCTTACTCCATTTAGTCGATTATTTGCATATTCAGTTTCACTACTATAATGTCTGATTACGTCACAGATTCACTGACCTTTGATGAGTTGTTCTGGTCGTGTCCCAGGCAAAGTCCACATAGCCTGGGCTAGATGACCAAACACTGTAGCATCTAATGTCGACATCTTAGAGCCCATAAAGTACTTCTTATCCCCTACAGGACAGAGAATACAAAGCAATTAGATGTTTTGATACAGAGAAATTGTTTACTTTTTGAAAATACGGCCCTATATGGAAATAAACAATCTAATGATGGAAGTCAAGTGTGTTTCATCAGCAGCGCCTGTCATTCAATTGAAGTGGATATTACATTATATACATATTACTACACTGGACTACATTTCCTACCAGTAAAACTTGCCATGGCAGAAGCTGGATCTTCCCACCATTAATCCACAAATTTTATCTAATTATCTCAACTGTTTATGTGTTACTAATTATTTTAGTATTTTATTACTCTTTTCCCATTACTTTTAGCTAACTACTCTGAGCTAAGTAGCCAACCTCACCTTTTATCCATTCATCTTAGGTAATTATTTCAAATGTTTATACTCACTTAGCTAACTATTTCAACCATTTTGTATGTCCACCACTTTTAGCTAACTATTTCAACAAATTTCAACAGTTTCCATGTCCTTTCAGTGGTAGCCCCTGTGATACAAGTACCCCTGGTTGGGATTCCCTTTACTAAAGTAAGTTCATAGTAAGATATAACCCCCAACGTTGAAATCTATCATAGTTTTTTGTAAAAACCAATGAAGGAGAAATGAAACATTTGTGATCTTAAATATGATTCATGCTTAATCAATGATCTTCTCCTTCCCTGTAGCTTCAGAGAATACACCTTTCCTCCTGAAGGTGGAACAGCTGCACTGCATCGACAACACACTCTAGATTCACACTTCTGGCACTGGAGTCTGGAGCAGCAAAACATTAAGCTGTATGTTTGCCAAGTGTACTGATACTTTCACTCTAGGAATAACCTTTCTTTTTACAGCAGGCGGTCGTCGGTTGAAGTGGCACACACAGATCGATGCAAATTACTTTTCTTTCCAGCATCTCACTCTTTGTTTCCATCTGTACACTCTGATATTGTATCTCAGTGGCTCAGATCCAGAACTTTCCCTGTTTCCATTCGTCTCCACTATACCACACCAAGCACAAACAGGCAATGACATGACATGTTTCGTATTGAAATATACCGAAACCACATATGAATGAATCTTTGATATGTTGTCTGCATGGAAATTAAATACATTTACATGCTACTTAATTAATATTTTAAATGATGCCCCTTATATCCCAGGATATATTACTGTGCATTTGTATTCTGAAATAATTTGTCAGGGTCTATTAGTCATTAACACTAATGCTTCATTAGGCTACATTAGCCTGCCAGAGCCAGCCAACAATTTTCACTTTGCTTATTATGGCCTGGCAGTGCCGGAACAAATGATCTTGATACAGATGTCACTTCAACATCACTCATATCAGCACGAATACTTCCTGTGTCTGACTAGACAAATGACCTTTTCTTTAGGCTGTCACTGGTATTTACTTCTGATTTTGTGGGACGAAAACAAAACAGCTGTTCTGGAAAGATTGTAAGATTTCTCCACCACCATACACTGGGGCTGGGTATTGAAAAGAATCTGAAGATACCATACATATCACGACAAAGGGGTTATGATTCAATATATTGTGACACTGTGAGCTAGGCGATATATTGCAATTTTATTTTTAAAAAAACTGCTATTTAACAGTTGGGGGTCTATATATACTGTCAATGGTCTAACCACAAAAAATTATACAGTATCATATCACAAAATAAAATATCACAATAAGATATTTTTCAGTATTTTCACATACCCCTACTATCCACCAAACTGAGTTTCTAAATAAATTTGAGATTGTCCAGTGCTTTTAGAAATGGCTAGGGATTTGTAAAAACAAAGGCATGTAATTCTATTATCTTACATTCACAATCTGGTAACGCTGTTATCAGATTATATAACAGAGCCTTGTATGTTACCCCTCATAAATTTGATGAGTAAAGTGATAGTCCTAATGGAATACATTTTAATGCAAAAGGGTTGGAGTAGAGGCATTAAAAATGCTTATCCACACACACGTTCACACACACGCAGTTCTCTTCCTACCGAGCAGTGTGGCCAGCGTCCTCATGTCCTTCTCCATCAGCGCGTAGACCTCTTCCTTAGAGAAGCGTCCGATGCCGTGGCCGTACATCTCCCTGCGCACCATGCTGCCGTTCAGGTGGCCCAGCAGCCACTTCAGAGTGCCGCTCAGAGGGCCGCTCATCGCCAGAAGCTTCTGAGTTTCTTCCAGGTTGTCCACCCACTGACAGTAGGCTATCGTCCTGAGAGAACACACACAGCAGATCGTGTTATTATTGATGATCTAATTGTGTCAGAGCAGGAAAGGGTCTGGCACCAAACCACTTATATTGCAGATCTTCTAACACTTACAGTCAGAGTCGAGTCTCGCAATAAAGAAATAATTTTTTGCTCTTCTTCTTGCTCTTTCTTAGGTCGAGATTGCAAACAGAAGCTTTGTAATGTCTGATCTTAAACAAAAATACAAAGGGTTGCTGAACAGTGGTCCTCAAACTGTGGGGCCCCACTGGTGGGGCATAGAGCCACTGCAGGTGTGTCGTGGATGACTAAATATGGAGTGGAACAAAGATGAATGTATACAATTTATGTTGCTGATGCTTTTGTGCTGACCTTTATTTTACAAAAATTCAACTTGGATCCTTTTTTATAAGTTTGGGTTCTTTGTCATTGTTAATGAATATTAAATATCCACACCAAGCCACCTTTACTTCCTTCAAAGTAACAGTGAAATAAGAGAAGGGCAAAAAAGAAAACGCTAGTGAACCAGGGAAAACTTTGTATACTACGGTGTTTTGAGTTGTTACATATCAAATTCCGATATGTAGAGCTCCTCACAAACAGCTCTAATCCAAGACTATTTTTAGCAACATATGATAAGAAGCTATCATTTCAGGATACCAAAAGCAATCCCTTACGCCAGCATATAAATCCTTATCAGCAATTCCAGTCCTGAAAACACAGAAGCATTGAGCTCATGGATCAAGAATCCAGGATGCACAGTAGTGTCAACAATAAGACGCTTTAATCTGAGCCCCTGTGTCCTGTTACCAACAATGCTTTGTGTCCATCGACAATTAACCTCGCCCTCATCAATAAAAGTGCACACCGCATCCGTCCTTGCCCATTTATCAGCTGCACTGCTCTCAACTCACTGCCAGGAGACAACATCATATATCCAGCCCTTTAAACTGTCAGGCGGCTGGGATGTACATGAGGAAATGCTTGGTCCCTGCCTCCCATACAGACAGAGGTTAGAGAAGAAGTGTGCACACATCCAGCAAATCCCATTATAGATTGGGATTAAAAACTGTTGAACAAAAGCACTCAGAAGCTCTGTGTCTTTGTTGAGTCATTCAGATTCCCTTCCTTGCTTGTGTTAAAATTAAAAAAGGGAACCTGGGCATCTGCATGAGCCATCCTGATGTCAAGCAGAGATTTGTCTCACAGCAGTAGACAGATCTGGTGTGTCTGTGTGCAAACAAGCCCGACTCAAATCCTCAAAATCCCTCTCTAATTCTGCTTCTATTGATCTGCATCTCCTCCTTTGTGACCATCATAGATTTAATAAAGGAAACCAGTAAGTGACAGTTGTTTCAACTGCATTTATCTCATTAAAATACACACATAATGAAAAGAGTTACTGTCCCTGATGTTTGCTGCATTCATTGCCGCCTCTGCTGTGTTCATGGTTTTCCAGGCAAGCTGCCTGTGCGTGCAGACACTAACAAGATTAAGCTGCTATATCCTCACACACTTGCACTTTCTTACACCACCTTGTTTGAAATATAGACTGAGCTTCCTCCTCGGCTCGTCTGAAAGCCTGGGACCCATGAGACGTGATATAACTGTGCAAGGAGCTTCTGTCTCCAGCCTGCAGTCTTCTGGGTCGCTCTAGATGACTGGTCACTCAATAGAAATTGAATTAAAGCATCTGGCCTATATTACATCTGGGAGTGGTGACTGTCTAGTACTTCCTGTTCCATTATCTGATACGCAAAAAAGATGTACTACCCTTTGTTTCCAGATTGGGAAAAAAATAACTGTTTGGATACAAATACACATCTGAAAGTGCAGGTAGATAGAAGGAAAAGATTTAAAGGACCAGATTATAAACCTCTCTAATTTTAGATCTTTTGCAGATTATTCCATGCCCATGGATGAATAGTACCTTGGGCTTCCCCAGATCTGTTTTAAAAAAAGCAACCACTTAGAGGAACATAGCTGGTAATCACCAGAGCTGACACAGAGAAGGTCACAGAGATATGCTGGAATATCGCATCATTGCTTTAGAAATACAAATGCACCAGTGCTGTTGCATGCAAGGGGTCAATGATGTCCAACCCACCAGATCATAAAGAATTATATAGTTAGTACGGTATTTTGCATTTGTAATTAAACGTAGAGATGCATGGTACACTCAATAAAGGCTCCGTAAACTGGAGGAGGCAACATGCATTCACAGTATGTCACCATAATCAATCACGAGTAGCTTCCACAAGATTTAAGGGCATGGCCGCTTAGTGACAGGCGGGTGCCGTCAGGGCTTCATTCAATGGCAAGAGCTTTGAGCTACACAACGGCTCTTCACAAACCTATGGGTGACATCACAGAGACTACGTCCATTATTAATGATACAGTCTATGGCAGAAACATGGTGGCCTCTGTAGATAAAAACAGCTCATTCTAAGGTAACAAAAATACAATGATTCTTATGTTCAGGTGATTATACATAAATATGAATATTATATTCCATTTCTGTCAATAAAGCCTCATAATTACTACACACTAGACCTTTGAGATAAATATTTAAAGCATAATATTTTATAATATTTCCTTAGGCAGCAATGTTGGACAAAGCACAGTTCTTCAGTGTCCTGCTATCTTATTTTCATAACAGCATCAATCAATCAGAAGAAGGGCTGGTGGGAAACTGTGTGTGTATGACCTCACCTTCAGTTGCTGCTGCTGGCCTGCAGCTCTGTAGCCCTTAAAAGAGCAACAAGCCGCCACGCTGCCCTTCCCTAACATAAATAATTCAATCAATAGGTCTATATGTGGGTCTAAACATGGCCCAGGGTGGGCGGAGGAGCAAAGAGGGAGGGAGGATATACAGAAGGTTACATGAATGACCTCTAAAGCTTTGGAGAAATATTATGGACTCTCACATCACAAGCACATCGATCTGTGAGGTTGCACATGTCACATCCTCATTTACTCTCTTTCTCAGTGGATAAAAAGAACTCTTAAATGGTCTGAATGTAAGGACTAAGATCGACAAGTTTCGCTCAAAATGTGTCCTGACATTATTAAATAAATGAGAAACAGGATTAGTGTTGGATCTGTGTGTGTGTGTGTGTGTGTGTGTGTGTGTGTGTGTGTGTGTGTGCAGTGTGCGGAGAGAGAGAGAGAGGAGGGTGGATAGTGGAAGATGGACTGAGCTTTTAGGTAATGGAAAACACTCTGAGCCTCTCTGGGCGTGGGAGGAGTGGTAAATGATTTCCTAGCAGCAGCAGCAGCAGCAGCAGCAGCAGCGTGTTTCTCACCCTAGAAGTAGCGGAGTGACTCACCACAGCAAAGGATGGCTGATAACACAATGCTGATGGGGAGGACAGAGCCAGGCTGGGCTACAAGGCAGCATAAATACAGCTTAAATAAGAAAATGGAAAAAAATAAAGATCTAAGACTCAACATGTTTTTTTTTTAGCTGTTAAAATCTCTGTGACACTGTTGTTTTTCATTGAGATCTGTGTGGGTGGTTCCTGATACAGGCTGACACTGGGTGTGAAAATGAGTATGTAAATACAAATGTGTAAATGTAAATGTATGCATTCGGGTTGGCAAAACATTTTAGGCACAACAGTTACGCAAATTACAGAAAAGTTCCTGTATTCTGCCTTTAAAAGCAGCTTAAAGTTGCTTAATAACTGGATGTTTCCATTTAAATCACTGTAGACTGAAATCAGCTTACAGCAACTGCAGGTTACCAAACACACAGCTGTAACTTACCAGTAGAGGTGTTCCTCCACCATTTTAGTGACAGCCCGGGATACAGCTCTCTCCTGCGGGGTGAGGTTCTTGTTAAGGTTGACGCCCAGCTTCTCCTCCAGGAAGTCCACGATGAACTCGGACCCTGAAACCTGCTCGTGGTTGTACTCCATCCAGGGCATCTTACCCTGCGGCGACAGCTTCCCATCAAAGTAGTTCTGCAACAGGAAACAGCGTCGTCTGAGAACATGTTGGATTCCATGCACATTTTCTGCACAAAAAGAATTATTGTTGATATATGCCAATTTTGTACGCAATCTTTTCCTGTTGCTGACTTTTAAAATAGAGTATCATACCTAACCCTGATGAATGTATAACAGAAAGGAGGTGTGGCATTATGGGATTGGTAGTATCCATTGTTCTTGGAGTTTAACCCATAATAGAGACTTACAGTTAGGATAGCTTGGCCTCAGCTACACAGGTTTTGACCATTCTTTTCTTAAACTGTGTCTGGCAAGTCACTCTACTTGGACGTGGAAGTGCGATACACAACCGGGGCAGCAGTAGCTCAGTGTGTAGGGACTTGGCTTGGGAACCGGAGGGTCACTGGTTCAAATCCCACAGACCACAATATGGAGAGTGGACTGGTAGCTGGAGAGGCCAGTTTCACCTCCTGTGCACTGCTGAGGTGCAAGGCAACCTAACCCCAAGAAACTAACGTGGCGAGCCCATCACTCCACCATGTCTCTCCCTGTTGCATGTCCACAAGTGTGAAGTGTGTGTGTAAGAAAAACAAGAGTGAAAAGAAGAATTTCCCCAAGGGGATCAATAAAGTGTATATATAGATCTATCAATCACTGGAGAGTCCCTTTAAGAGTATACACAAAATGACAGTTTGGCTTTCTCCTGTGAACTTCTGGATAATTTAATCTTTTCAGGCCAATAAAAAGCATTTGAATAAAACCATGCCAGAAGGAAAAATGACTCTTTGACTGACAAATCGGTGATAAAAGGCCACAAGAAGAAAAGACTTCATTTCAAGGGGTAGAAACCAAAAAGTTTGGGAACCACCTATTACGCAACGCTGTAAAAATGATTCAATGTAAAAAGACCTGCAATGAATTGTTTGAATTCTATGCATTAGCCTACTTGCCATTAATCAAGACTATAATAATAATAATAATAGTATAAGCATTGGAAAAACTGAGCAGTTAGCATGAGCAGCTATGGCTTTTGAACAGAAATTTGAACAGAAAAAAGACACTGAAGGCTGTTTGCTCTCTGGTGTGTACAGAGTCCTCTCCTGTAGCTGTGTGTTTAATCCACTCTGAGTTGGTCGGGTTGAGTCTCACCTGGTAGGGCAGGTCCACCATGCGCAGGTATGTCTCTATTTTGAGGCAGAAGGGTGAGAGGCTGGGCACCCCATTCTTTGGCCTGGAGAACTGATGGAGGATGATGGCGTCTTTAGAGTCCAACTCCTGCTCCTTCCTACACAGAGAGCAAAGAAGGAGAAAATCTTTAGCAAATAAACAGAGAAGTCCAGTTCACCTTTGTTCCCAGATGATTTTGCAATTCCTATTGTGTTTTTATTGTTTTTTTCAACATACACAGATATATTTAAATTCAAACTGCCAGACCCATCCTCTGATAGATGTGCTATTCTGACTAACAGAGCCACTTTAAGTAAAAGGACATTAATATGACAATAATATTTGCTTTTGAGGAATTATTTGATTGACAATAAGCTGAATGCATAAGCACTTAAAGCTGCAGTAGGTCATTTTTATAAAATATGTTTTTGTCATACTTGCTGAAAACTTTCACTATATCAGTAGTACATGAGACAGATAATCTGTGAAAAAAAGATGGCTCCTCATAGTGCTCCTATAATGGCATTTGCAGAAACCACCGGGCCTGAACGAAAACAACCAATCAGAGCTGAGAAAGATGGGTGATTGTTGAGTCTCAGATTATCTGTCTCAAGTTCTACTGTCAGAACACAGTGAAAATTTCAGCAATAATGACAAAAAGTTATTTTTATAAAAGTTACCTACTGCAGCTTTAACTCCGAAGCGTTGTGTTTGCTATGATGGATTGTCTTACTCTGTGGATGTTTCATGCTTTACAGAAATAAACAGCAGCAAACGACTGATTCTTCAGGGAGGAATATATGCTTTGAAATCTTTAACCTTGCTGACTATGTGTAGACGGCAGCAGGAACAAGTAAAGAGAGCATTGATACAAACTTAAAAGGCAGCAACAGTATCCTTGGAAATGCAAAATTGTCATACAGTCTGGCTGATACTGTGTAACTACCTGTTTCTGGGTCAGCCAGAGCTCTGAGATAAACAAAACTCAGTTTTCAGGCTCAAACAAACCTTCCCAGGAGAAAGAGGTCACACCTGTAGTTTATTATAGCATGGTGACACAGTAGCAGTCCCTGTGTCCCTGAGCTCTGGTTTTTTAAACCCTCTCAACCACCCACCAACATGCACATTTTTTTTTTAAGCAACTGCGGTGGCTTCACTTCATTAACTTTCAAACAAGAGCTTTGTGCAGACCTACATTTTGTTGTCCTGGCTGAACTCCACTCTGTTCATCTGTAATGCTCAGTGAATGACAGGTTGTATTTGATTTGTCTATTTGGTCATATGTAATTGATTTCCTGTGTTTAGCTACGTTTATTTATATGTTTATTATATGGTAAATTTTCCTTTGCAATGAGTCAAGCTGAGTTTGTGGGAAAAACTGTTGATGCTGATTTTCTTTATCACTATCATAGCTGAGCTGAGGCACTGAGAGCTTCTGTTAGGATGGAAGTTACTGACTAAATGATTCATCTCACTGCTCCAGTTTGAATCAAACACACTGCTGGATGTTTCCCATCCCTCAGTCATACTGTGTGCCTGCTGTCTGAACACAAACAGTTATAAATCGTACTACTGATTACTGTTATCTTCTCTGTCTGTCCCTGGGCTGCTGTGGATGTGAGGTCCTGTTGTTCCTGTAGCAACTATGTCAGTACACACGCACTGAATTATTATTAATAAAATGCACTCATTTTCAGTCAGATCTAATAGTATATTGATAATTTAGGTTCTTGTTTAAACAAAAATAAAAGATTAAATTATTTGAGATGAGATCAGGTGAAACACTGACATTTTTCTTTCCATTTCCTGTTGATTGTATTTACCATTTTTCTGTTAGAATTACAATCAAGAGGGACAAAAAACTAGGCATATACAAAACAAACAAACAAAAACAGTAATTAGGCTTCCTTATTCAAGCATGTATTTCCATTACACATAATCACGACTTGCTGAAGCTTTGTATTCCACTGAAGCAGTTAAACAGAATTGAGGAGAAATACAGTTTTGATCTATAATGTCACACCTATAGGTCCCTGATTCTTACCATGTGTTATTTTTGCAGCACACAGGAAGCAGTAAACAGAGACTCTACGAACTGGCATTAGCGCCATTTAGCAGGCAGACACACAGAGCATGTCTGGTCTGCTTAGCATCCCTTTTATCACCGGCTCCTCATGACTGAATAATTTAATATAACTGTACAGGGGGCTGGCAGTATGTACTCTACTTTTTTTATCAACCATTAAAATCGGCTGCCAGTTTATTAGGTATTATTATTATTAGTCTAATACAACAAGCCTGCAATAAAGGTTCAGTGTTTGAATATTAGAGATACAACACTGTTGAACAGTCTACCCTCGTGATACAAACAGGTTGGGAATAGATAAGAGACACCTCTCAGTATAGTATAACACAGTAGAATTCAATAACCACCCAAACTACAGCCCCCAAAACGACTACAAGGTTAAATCAAGACCTCTCTACCCCACAGTGTTACTGCTCCTTTAAAGCTTGTGTTACTGTTTTATATTCTCTAAAAAAAGAGTGTTGTTGATTGTACTTCTTACACAGCACTATCCTCCCAAATCCCAAACTAGCATAGGTGGGACCAAGTTACTGTTTTCCATGACACAAATCAAGTCCCATGTCCTTAAGTTTGACTTTAAAGTCTCTTCACCAAATGTAATGCCATTTTAACTACAGAGGAATAGGCTGACATGCTTTCATGTAAAAAAAAAAAAACAACAACAAAAAAGCCCAACATTATTTTTCTTGTACTGCATCTTTTTTTAGTTTTTGTATGCAAACAAAACTGTCTTTGGTATCATTCTTTTTCAAACTGGCGCTCAGTAATGTAATCGAGTTGCAAGTGTTTTTCGATTCTGTCAAGTGTAAAGACATCAAATTTGTCACTCGAGTCAACGCCTCTGCTAATTAGTTTTCTGACTTTCTCTAATTGCTGTTTGTGGTTCAGAAAAGGTCTAACAGGGAGTTGGACCTTTTGGGTGTCTAGTATTATTAATTAATCAAACTAACTAACTAATTAATAAGGCAATACAAACAGCACCATAAACTGCATCCTTCATCATACAGCTGAATCAGCATCCCTCTAACACAGCTTCAGCAAAACCTGAACATTATAATCTTCATTAGGCAGAATTTATTAAAGGGCTGTTGTATTAGACTGCATCTGTTTTGGCTAGGTGTATCTACTAAACTGGCAACTCAGTGTATATATCACAGATATCTATGCTATACACCAGTGGACCGACAATAGGGGTCGCAAGGGCTTCTTGATTTTGAGAGGCGTAAGAAAACTAAATGGAATTGTTATTTTTAAAGTTTAGATTTTTATTGAAGATATGAAGTTGAAGACAGCTATATTCACAGAGCCTTCACTCTCTGTTGTGTTCACTGTTTGAGTTCATCGTACAGTGAATGTCCTCTACTGTTATTGTTATGCACTGAACATATTATGAAATATTCAGAGGTCATCAGTTTACTTAAAACAAAAAGGGTCCCCTGAGGGAAAAGCTTGGGAACCCCTGGTATGTACAGTATGTACACAGTATGTAAAGCATGCTGCTCTACAGTGTCTCTGTCCACTGTCTCCTGGTGCTGTAAGTCGCTGTCCACAGTCATATGGTGCTGAAACCGCTCCAACTCTCTGTACAGTCTGCACAAATGACCCCGTTACATATCTGCCCACTGCACCACTGTGTCTGATGTGTCCTAAGCATCCTCTCTGTCAACTGAACTCTCCCTGCAGAGCCACTTAAAGAGCTCTCCCAACATAAAGGAGCCACTCACAGAGGGGACAGGAGAGCAGTGGCTGACTGCTGTGGCAGAGCTGCCGCCAGTGCCAACAAACACATCACATGGCATGAACAGATGATGCCGGCAGGCTGCGGGGTCCAGCCTCAGTAGTCCGCACGTGATCCGGCAGCAGCGTTTCCGCACGAAATGCAAGGTTACGCAGATTATCATAGAGGGAGGGGGGAGGGGGGAGGGGGAGTGAAAGCAGAAACTACCAGGCCACTGTTACAGGATGTACTTACTGCCCGGAGCTGGCCCGGCCCAAAATAATCCCCCCATTGACAGACACGCAGTCCCTGAACTGCTCATAGTCTGAGTTAATCACGATTACACCGCAGGGCCGATCCTCTCCTTCATCCGCCTCCATGACGAGGTACAGCTGTAAATATAGGTGTGTTCTTTGGGTATTAATCTATGCAGCAGCTGTGTGTGGAACTGCAGAGCTCATTAAAGGTCGCTGTGACTCCGCAGCGCCCGAGGAGCGCTTCCTTTAGACACGCTCAGGTGCCGACGGAGCATGGCACGGGAGCTGGCACACGAGCGGACGCGTGACTCATTTTTTATTTATTTCTTTTTTTTTTCTGTCTCTCCATCTAGTGTCGTGTCCTTGGGAGGAGGAAAACAAGGACCGAAACCTCAGTAACCACCGCGAGATCTGCACACAAATCACATCCTATGGAAGGACTCCCATATATATCCATTCATGGGTTTTACCACAGCCCAGTCCAATGACACCCATCGGCCGGTGTGGTTAACGGTGACACCCACCCCTCTGAGGGATGAATAAAAAAAGAAAGTGATGATGAGAAACAGATGGGGTCCTACCTGATGGCGAGCAGCTCATGCAGTAGGTAGGCTGCAGCAGCCAGCAGGGCCCCCCCGGTGATGTACAGGGTCTTCTTCCACCAGGAGTCCGAGCCCAGAGCCGACATGATGCCCCCGTAGTCCTGTAAAGGGAAGGTGATGATATAGCCATACAAAGACTGCTGCTGCTCGGAGCCGCACAGCCCGAGGGGCAGGCTGTGATTCCGCCCGAGCTCAACCACACACGGCCGGGAAGAGGCGAAGCCAGCAGCCCAGTACATCCTCCCTCCCTCGGTTACAGCCGCCCAGCGTCCTCCCAAAACGCCCGGTGGGTCGTCTACGGCATGGCGGCGGCGTGTGGCGGATGTTTCTCCAGAAAATCAGAAGGAGTAAACATCTCGACTCCCCCCCTCCTTCCCAGGACGATGCTCAGCAGCACCCAGCTCGCTCCCCCTTTGCAGGTTTTGCAGAGCATCGTCAAGCTGCTCCGAAGCACAGAGGCTTGACTTCCGGTCTCACGTTTTCAAAATAAATGTCACTTTTCGCAGGGTTATTTAGATGACTTGGACAATGTTCTGTAAACAACACCACCAATAACAACAATAATGGCAGTGCACACTGCTCTGTTGACATTCGCTTTTCAAGTCTGTTAAACTAGTGAAACTGAAGCCCAGGCTGCGTGGTCCTCCACTTTAACTTCTGACCTTCTGTGCAACTAACTATTTATTTTCATTAGAGATTAATCTGCTAATTATTTTCCAGATTAGTTGTTTTGTCTGTCAGGTGTCAGATATTCAGTTTAGTGCCACATAAAAATAAAAGCAGCAGATTATCACATTTAAGAAGCTGGAAAATGACTCGATGATTAATACTAGATTATCGGAATAGTTGTTGGTTAACCGTTTGTTGACCAACTAGGTGTCTCATCGTTATAGCTCTAAATATTAATAATGCTCTAACTTGATGTCTGTCTTTGCTCACAAATATGCCACAGGATTAAAAAACTTAACTTATTACATTGTTCCATGTTTCTGCAGGTCTTTCACACATCTTGGTTATATTGTTGGTCTCTGCAAACATATTGTTGTATTTAAGCATGAAAGCTCATTCTTGATCATGGAAATCTGACAGAAATGGAAGAAAGAGGAGACTTGATGAAAGTTTTAGAAAAAGCAAGTAGGCAGACCTTGAATTGATTCTTGTTACTTGTCTCTTGTCAAATCTTAAAAAAAAGTTATTTTATTGTTTTTTTAATTTTATATTACATTTACATAGATTAATAATAACCAACTGACAAAGGGGAATGGGGCTGTCGATTTGACAAAAAATAATAGCGTAATAGCTTAATACTTTTATTTTCAAGGGGAGCTCGGGTGTGCATCCGGTGTTAATGTGCCAAACTGTGGCAACTTGACGCAGCTGGCCTATTGTCTGCTCCAGCGGAGGAGCCACCCCGCCCTGACGAGCCCCCAGTATCCCACTGAAAACAGTGGCTCCGTGATGAACACGTTGCTTATTTGCCAACACCACCAGCTGACTACCGGCGGAGCTCCTGCATCACATAATATTCCTCTATTCAGTGTCACTGTGGATAATGGGGCAGCCTCTGCACCTACATCATCATCTTTATCACTTTACCCAAAACTAACTATAGCTCAAACTTAAACAAGTGTAAAGTTGTATTTCTTATTGCAATAGAAGGTATATGCTCAGTTAAAACGGATGCGGGTCATTGCTGGTTCACAGCAGGTCACAGATCAGCTGTAAGTCCAGACTGAGTTGATAGTAAACATACAGTGAACATACAGAGAACACGGGTGGAATGTCAGGCAGAGGAAGACTACTCACTCTGGAAAAACTTCGGAAGTGTAGGAAGACGTTCATCTTGACGGTCAAATCCAGCGAGTGCTTGCGGAGTCTGTTTGTCTAGCATGCCGAGAGGAGGACGGACAGACAACTTCGAGAAAGAGCAGGTTTCGTAAAAGCTCCCCTACAGCTTACATCACCGTCAGAAAGCACCTTGATGCCGGTGAAAGCCGGACTCCTCCCGGTGAACGGCGACACTCCGCCCAGATCGACGAGATGCTGCTGTGTTTAAGCCGAACAGGATGAACTCAATTTAATCTATGGCACGGTGATGCGTTTTAAAGTCCTCTCTGCAGCCATGGCCACCGCAAGTTAAGTGCGCGCTCCCGTGACGTTGGGAGCGCGCATTGGAGCAGGAGCGTTATTGTGCTGAACTAGTGTGGGAATAAGTGTCTACTGCAGGCATTATGGATGAGAATGTTAAACATATATATGTACACTTCTCAGGGTTGTCTCTTGTGCAGTACACTGCTCAACTTGGTTTGCTGGGACCCCATAAATGACAAATGCCACTTATAACACTCAGTCTGGTTATTCTCTTTAAGAACATCACGCAGGCATGACTGCTTCTCTGCCACAGGCCTGATGTGTATTATATAATACTTCCACATGAGACCCACTATAATCCCAGAGGATGTGACCGTCCAATCCTCGTGTGCGGACACATCATCTTAATGAAAATGCTTCCGAGCGTGCAGCTAAAAACCAACATGAAAATCATATTTATTGTGAGCAGCCAGATAAATCAGACGTTTCACTGTGGTACTTTCACTCTTCAGAAATGCAGCCGATGAGAGGACAGCTTTAATACAGGCTAGCAAGCTAAAATATAAAGCTGATTCAGTACAGTGATTACTGAAAATGATGTGATTAGAGGATGTACAGTTGCTTTGTACAGCTCCTCAAACACTCGTTAAACAGTCTGTAACAACACAATGCAACCTTATTCTGAGTGCACTGGCAGTACATCTCTAATTCTATCTCAAGGCTGTTTGTCCCTTTCCTTCAGTGACCTCAGTCTTCCACAGGGAAGTTAGGACTCTGCACATCTGCATCGCCTTGTCCTCCAGGTGTTTAGCTCAGCTGGGTGAGGCTGCAGTGTGGTCCTCTGGGTGGGTGCTGCTCCCCTCTGCCTGGTCCGGCTGGGGATCGTCACTCACTTTGACAGCGTGGAGGGCGTAGTTGATGGCAGTGCTGTTAGTCCAGCTCCAGGCTCCTGACACTGGGTTGTACAGCATTCCCTGAACAGACTGCACTGAGAAACCATCTGATAGAAGATGCAAGGGGTGAGGAGGGGGGTTAGAGGCCAAACAAGAGAAAGAATGACAGCAAAACATAAGACAATCATTTATTTTTTATACTTGTGATAGGATCATTTAAACTCTGGGCCCTGCAAGGACATGACATAGTGACAGTGCAGCTGATTTTAGTGGCTGGTTACTTCACTGAACATCAGCCTCTGTAGTTATATTAATTTCTATAAAGGAGAACCATTTCAAAGTACATGAATGTACCTATCCATAAGAAAAAATAATAAGAGTGTATCCTGTTTAGGTAAGAGGACAGGGAAATATTGCTTTATACAACCCAGGTTTAGAACTGGGGACAGAACATAATATCAGCCCCTGATGAAACTCAAATTTGATGCACTCAGTGATAAATGTATTCCTTATTTAATCCACAATTAGCTGGGAATGAGCCAATTTATTGTCTCCTAAGTGTTTGATTTCTTTGTTTTAAAACTCCTGCAGTTATCTTGGAACTTGAAATCTCCCCAAAACAAATAACCATCCCATGAACATAAGAATTATTTATAAACATTCCAAAAATATAAACTGCTTTTCTGCTATGTTTAAAGACCTTGTACAAAGAGTGAAACATCTTTCAGAGTGAGCCAGTTTCTGATTAATTTTATTCTTACTTTACACTTTCATCCTGTGTGCTCTTGTTGTCATATGGAAATTAGGGGGACTTACTGGACTCCAGGAGGCGCTCCAGCTCTACTGGGCTGATGAACTTTTCCCAGTCGTGCGTCCCACTGGGAACAATGCGCAGCAGTTGCTCGGCCACAACAATACCCAATGCGTATGACAGGTTGGTTTTATTAATAGTAGTGATGAAGAGTGAGCCCCCGGGCTGTGCACGGAGAAGAGAGACAGTTTTAGTTTATTAGGTATTAAAGAAGTCTGGCAATATTTCTGCAGAAAATGTATTTTACAATGACAGCACATCCCTGCAGGTATTATGTACACAAGGTGCTACCTGTGTCATCGGGGTATTTATAGAGGGGATTTAGAGCTTTGAGTGCGCAAGACTGGTGAGTAACGGTGCCAAACCTCAAGTTCAACCTCGGTCAAGATTAACAAATTTAACAAGGGGGGAGGTAGCAGAGTACACACGGAGAGAGAGGGGGAGAGATGAAATCCAAACAATACAAGAACTCATGCCAAAGCGTCCCTGCACAGGTGCCCTAAAGCAAGATACACCTGAAAGGTTTTTTTTTTTAGTAAAAGAGCAGAAGTGAGAGATTTGGTGAAAGTCCAGTAAGGCCTAAACTAAATGCAGAGACATTAAATGAAGATATTCTTTTCCTCTCTACTCCTCTGGCCCACTGATCTGGGAGATTATCTGGTCTCAGTATTGATGGACAGCTTTCAGTAAAGCTTGTCAAGGTTGAGTGCCACTCATACACAGAAAAACACATGCTAACCCATTCCCAGTGACACACAGCAGATGCAAACACAACAAACAAAAACAAAATCACCATATGCCCATTAGCATGCGCTCAGATGAACACATGGACACATACTGTATTGATGCAGAAATATCTGACATGAGCTAACAGCTGGAGGGAAACACACACGCCCGCACTATCCCGGGACACACCTTCACTACGAGGCCGCAGCAGAAGGCGAATGTTTCCAGGTCGGCCAGATGTTCCACCACCTCGGACGCTACGACGGCATCGAACTGGCCCGCCCCAGGCTCGTCTTCCCCTCCCCCCTCCTTTGCCGAGAGCTCCTCCAGGGTGCAGGCCTGGTAGCAGACGTCACGAAGGTCCGGGTCATAGGAAGAATGCAGCTGGGCTGTGCCGATGCTGTCTTCTACCGGATCTATACCCAACACACTGGCCCCCAGGCGACCCAGGGGCTTGTGAGGGACAAGGAGGAGGGGGGAATTTAGTTACAGTTTTTTTTTAGAACTGGTTGCACACACTTCTCTATATGAAGTTCAGTTTTTCAAAATTGTTCACACTCTTCTCTTCACCAACATGCAGTTCGGCAAAACAGTTACATTACATCCAAAATGCACAATTGCAACTAAAACACACACATTGTACAGTAAATAAAAAAAATTAAAAAAACACTGCTATCATTACAATATGGATTACTGGTGTCTTCGAAGGAGCTTTTATTTACGTATCATTATTTGTTATTTATTTATTTTACCCAGGATTCCATCACAACAAAAGAACTCATGTAATGGGTTGTTTTGTAGCTCACTGTAACATAATGTAGTCTAATTTACAGTCAAGTCAATTTTATTATTTTTTTATTTATTATTATTATTATTAATTTATTTATAGCCCAATATCACAAATGCGCCTCAAGGGGCTTCACAATATGAACAGTACAGGACACCCTCTATCCTTAGACCCTCCATTCAGATAAGAAAGGAAAAAAAAAAAACAATAGGAAGGAAAACAATGGAACAAACATTAGGAAGAGAAGGCTCTCTTTCCCAGGACAGACCGACATGCAACATATAGTGTGTGTTCAGAATAGACCAACATAGTAAAATTACAGACGCTCGAGCCCACCTGCCAGTATCACTGCACACACATTGGTATTTCATCGGTTTATAATGCAGATAAAAGGCTCGGTGTCACTGCAAAGTTTATCCAGCAGAGTGCAATGCTGTGGCAAGCAGCACAGAGAGAGAGACAAGGAACAGCTCTCAGCAATGTCAACTAGAAGTGGCTGACTATGTATACGTTAAATTATTTAATATAATAAATAAATATTCGTCAAAAATAAAGTTATTGGTTTTTAAAAAAGCAGCATTCTGAGTACCTTTGCATAGTCATATCTGTGAACAATCCACATAAATCCACATTCATTCCAGCTCACACATTCACTATATCGGCTGCCATATTGGTAATCTGTGAGTTTTTCCCCTCAGAAACTATATATATTGTTAACATATATTATTATCTTCTGTTCTGTTAGAATTTTAAAATAGTATATAAACATGAGCAAAATGGGCTGTAAATACAGAGTGGTGGTAGTTGAATATCAGTTAAAAAAAAAACAACAATGCAAAACTGAACACATTTTGTGTCAAATGCGATGAAAAGTGATCCACAGTGGACCACAGTGACTGCTGTTGTGACTGTGTGAGAAGTTCTGTGAGAGTGAACTCAGTGTAGACAGATGCATGTAATCAATTGTTAAAAAAAGAAATGCATTTTATAGCTGGCGATAAGCATCAAAAGTGGTTGCATGTGAACTACAACGCCCTCTTCTGGACGGCAGCTAAACACACAGGCCCATATGGCGAGCTGCACTTGCTCACCCAGGGGCCGATCTCCATCCTCCCTCAGCTGATCCCTTCTGATGGGAAGGGTTGGAGTGACGAGACACCCAGAGACACAACCGCAGCAGCAATCTTAACACACACTGTTTGGGGTTTTTTTTGTGTGTGTGTCTGAGTACGACAGCCTGTGTGACAGAGGCGTATAAACACAGGACCTGATTTTGTCTTCTCACATCACCCAATACAGCTGGTATGTCCTCAGTTCAAATGAAGGCGGAGACAGAAGCCCCGTCCTGGCTGCCCGGCTTTCACCGCTAACAAACAGATAAACAACTGTAAACGACCGACTGTCCGATCCACCAAACTGAGACCAGTCAAATCAAAAGGGAACGGGAATTAGGCTGACGTTTAAATGTTTTTTTGGGCGCTGGTATGTCTGTGAAAGGACTGGCACTAACGCACTGAAAGCAGAACCTTACACTGCAACAGACTGCTGAAGACTCAATGTGATGTGAAAGGCAGCAATTGAAACTATTGGGAATGAACAGAGAATGTATACGGGGCAAAATATAGTTTTGTCTGCATGTTCTGCACTGGGTCTGCATCTTTCTCACACACACACACACACACACACACACACACACACACACACACACACACACACACACACACACACACACACTTACCTCTGTGAGCAGGCCTCCTCCACAGCCGACATCCAGTATTCTGAGTCCTGCGAGTGGTTTCCCAGGATGACGTGTGTTGTGCACATTCAGCAGATTATCCCTGAATGGGTAAATGAGCAGGAGGTCAAATCTCAAATCAAAGTCTCTCCCACACCCACACACCTATCCTGCTCCTACTCTCCAGCGTACACCCTTCATGTTACAGGCTGTCTCATTTGAAATGAAGGAGGAGGAGGAGGAGGAGGAGGAGGAGGAAGGAAGGTGTTTGTATTCTTAAACTGTGTTGCATGAGGTTGGAGACCATGAGAATTCTCTACATTTTGCTGTCACAACCACCCTTATCTCAGCTAGCTAACAACCACAAATATCCTCTGGCTATAAATTCCACCTCCTATGTCGCACTGTGTTCCTCCCTTCTACCTTCGCTCACTCACTGCCTGCCTCGGGCGCTGAACGTGCAGAACAGGCCGAGATCTGGGCATGCATCATCCTCATTAAAGCTCGGCTGGGGTGCAGGAGCGTTCGTGCAAACAGTGAAGGAAATAAGATTAGGTGTTGGCAGACATCCAGCTAACTAACTAGCTCCCAAGCCCCACCACCACCACAACACAGAAAGAGGCAGACAAAAGCGACTAGCCATCGGCACAATATGAATATGAGCCGTTATTCATGTAAGAACTATTATGCTAGTGATAAAAGAAATCTGACTATTATATTATAGTTTAAAAAACTAAGACATGTATTTCCTTACTTCTCCACATCATTCTTTTTCATTTGAAATCACATTTGGCTAAAAATCTAAATTCTGATGTTATTATAGTTTTTATGATAGCTGCAAGTTTTCACAGCATAGTTTGAATGTGCAAAACTATTACAGCCAAAATGACTTATCTTTAGACACAAAATCCTGTGACGACCACAGAATGTATGCAACATGTGTTGCATACATTTTCCCCATATACTGCAAATACTCAGGGTGGAAACACAGCAGCGTTAATCACTAAGTTCTTCACCACCACTGCCCAATGTAGTAGTTGTGAAAAGGAAAAAAAAATTACTGTCAAAATGTTGCACTGTATTAAGTGTATGTTGCTGTAGAGTGAGTAGTGGTTTAATATTATATACCTTCCAGCATTACAGTATTACAGTCACTTGCTGCATTTTAGATGATGAAACTTTGTAATTGACATATTTAAAGTGTGGGCAATACAGAACAGAAAAAGTATTAAAAATTAGCCTTTTATAAATGTAGGATTTAGTGCAAAGTCCAATTCTAGAATGTATTTATCTATATTTACAGTAATGCAGCATGTTCAATACATAACAATATAGTTTTCAATCATCAGAATTGACTGTATGATAGTAAGATTGTCAGAGTCTAAAAGGTACAGCAGCAACAGTAGCCGTGGTGCTGCTGCGTCTCATTTAGACACCCCCCGAGGGCAGACCCACATCAGCCACACTCAGACATACACTGGCACTGGATCTGTCATACTGTCACCATAAACACACATCATCATCACCCCCACCAACAGGACCACAGCGGGGGAAGGGGAGAGCAGCAACGGGCTGTTTGGCTGGATGGGTAATGTAATGATTATCTCGTGGGGCCCCTACAGCAGATCTTATCAATCAAAACAGCCGCAGCCGCCAACCCCCCCCCAAAACCATGCACATGCAGTGTCGGGGCAGTTTGAACACTACTGGCTGAAAATGTGCTGATATGTGGAGGAATCCTGTCACTTTCATTGTATGTAACTTCAGTGTATCCTCCGTGTGTTTCTCTGCACTCAAACACCACAAGGCTGGATCTCCTCCAGGTTATGTTTTGACACAGTTGCTTGACGCCTCTGCCAACCACTCCCCCACAGTGACACTGACTTGTGCGTGACATCTTTGCATTTCATAAATATAATAAATGTCGAAATGCATATTTTTGCACACAAACCGTATGAAAGGCACCCTCAGGTCATTCATGGCGTGAAGAGCTGCAAATTCTCCCTGTTCGTCCCACCACTTGCTGGCCAGTGACTGGAACCTCCTCACCTCATCGGGATCCACTGTGGTTGAGGCTGACCGAGCACTGCACGTAGCAAAATAGACAGGACCACATCAGTACTGCACGTTGCTAAACACTGCATTTAATACAGATAACAAACTACAGCCAGTACAACGAGAGCTGCAACAATTCCAATAGTCCACTAAAAAAAAAAACTATTACCAGCTATTTTGATAATCGATTGTTAAAATTATTTTGCTGTTAATATAAATGCTGTTTTCTATATTTCATGTTCTGTCAAACAAGGAGATTTCCTGGTTTTCTCTGTTTTATATCATATTAAAAAGTAAATATTTGGGTTTTAGACTGATAAAACAAGACATTTAAAGGCATCACTACTTTTCACCATTTCTTGACATTTTGTAGACCAAACGAATAATCGATAATTCATCAATAATTAAAAATAGTAGATAGTTGCAGCCCTAAATACATCCTCTGCTAAATATCTTGAGAACATGTATTAATATTATGAGTTTTTTGCAAATTCATGCTGAAATGATTAGTCAAATAAGAGGAAAAAAGAAAATAACTGACTGAAATTGTGGCGACCCATTAATCATTTTAGTAATTTATCAAGTAAAATATTTAACAGGTTTCAGTAACTCAAATAGGATTTTCTCCATTGTATACAATTAAAGCTCCCATCCACTCATAAATAGTTCTCTCTTCTTGTTCCTACAGTTAGATGTTTGAGTTCCACTGTGCAGAATGCTGTCTGTGCAGAGTTTGACACTAGAAGGATGTTTTCACATTTATCTGCTGAAAGTGGAAAGTTACTATGTGTTCATCTGATTTTAAGGGGCGGGGCCTACCAGCATGATTTGTGACAACACAAAGGTTAAGAAGTCAATCTGGGTCCCACTATGCAACTTATACAGAGTGATATAGAAACCTGAAGCCACCAGTGCTCATACACTGAGAATGGACTTTACAGGGAACTAGGAGACATCTTGTGTCCAGCAGGAAAACTTTAGAATTAAATACATAAAATAAATTCTGGAATATTTAATGAGGTAGAACGGGAAGATTTTAATGAAAATTATACTTTTTTGTGGGAAAAAAACATATCAGACACGCATTATTGTTCCAAGCCAACTTTTTGTATATATGTCTTAACACATGTCTGGAGAGGATCTTTAAATATTTAGTAGTTATATGTAATATGTAGTCTGAAGTATCATTAGGCAGTGCAGTTGATAATGATGGGCGTGTTTCCCAGTTGAATTAAATGATTAATCTAAAAGGTAATTATCAGGTTAGGTAATAGACAGGCTTTATGAAAACATGTGTTGGTTGTTGTAGTTCTACCGCCATTCTTTCATATGCGCAACAAATATCTAACACACTCACAAGATGTCAGTCATTGAAGAGTGACGTTGCTTTGCGTTAATGTGCTAAAAGCTCAGTTACTGTGACTTTACTCGACCTTCGTTTCATTCGGCAATGTGTCCGCCTAACAAAGCGTAGTAGAGACAGATCAGATTTTTGACCCTTTCGCCCTCGGTACACCCCCTCTGCTGCTGTACCTGCAGTGACAGGGGACGCTGTGTGGCTGGCTCTTCGGACAGGCGCTCCTCTGCAGACACAGTGTCCGCTGTTGGCACACCGCAGTCCAGCTGAAGCCGCTCCGCGCCACGCCGGGGACTGCGGCCGCTTTACGGCTGCACAGCGCGAACATCAGGCGGCCAAACTTACCGGAGTACATGCTGACGTGACCCATCAGCAGCTAGCTACTGTGAGTTAGTTCACTGCACTACGGTAGTCGGTTTGCGCGACAGTGTTCCTATCTTTTCTGCTCGGGTAGAAACAACACGCACTTTAGTTCCTACTGATCCGACGCTGCTGGTACTGACGGTAAACAAGCGGCTATACAGCAGAGGAAATGTTATATAAAGCCATTTAATCGTGCAATAAATGTCTATTTTAATATTAGCCTTCTGTCATGGACATTATTAGTACTCAGCTTAGAACGAATTTGATCTTATTAGTTACTGAAGCTTAAACTCTCCCTCTCCAAGGTTCATAAACATCCTTTCAGAGTTCATATTACCTTCATCAAGCTCGAGCAAGAATGGCCTCCACATGCACCATGTTCTCCCATGAGAAAGTGACTGTTCTGTTTCCATCAGCAAATCTGCACTGCGGCACATCAATTCAACAAATACAACCTTGAGCTACAGTAATGTAACTGGGATGACATTTTCAGACATGAAACCCTTCTGATCTTTTTGGGGGGGCTTTATATTGCTTATATTAGATAAGAGCAGCAGAAGAGAGACAGGGAGGGGGGAGAGGGACATTCAGTTTTTTTTTTTGCAGTGCTCAAAGAACTAAAGTATGAATCATTATGAACCAGCAGAGGGCAGTAGCAGGTCCCTGGGCTTTGTGATTCTGTTTTGACTTACAAATGTAACATTATGAATCCTCTGGTGTTAAGAGAGTAAACTTTAAGATAAAAAAAATAAAAAAAGACGTGAGACAATTCAAGGAACAAACAGTTTTATTTGGACATCTTACAATAATGTTTCGGAAAAAAGTTAATCCTGTTACGCTTTAAAATGGTACAACTTTGAGTTTTTAGTGTCCACAGAGTCTTATTAAGCTTTGCATAACGATACAAGTGAAAACTCCTACCATTCAGAAAGTCTTGTTCTTCAGTCACACTTTAAAAATAACAACATATTTACAAAGATGAAAGAAATGTATGTGGGGGGGGGGGAGGGGGGGGGTCACCTACACAACTGCCTCTATAATGAGACAAGCCTGTTCAACTCATGGAATTTAAAATGGTAAAGTGCACAGATCAGGAGGTTAACTGTGCTCCTCAGCGTCTGCTACGACGGGAGGGGGATGTTGACCTGAAAGAGAGGCGTGGACATAACATTAATACTGCACCAATCACACTTACCCACTTAGACTACAAATTACAGACATGCACAGATAACCCCCCCGACATACTGTACTCATAGAACACAAAAAAAACTGTATAAATATCCTTAAAAACTAATGTTCTGCAGACTCTAGAGAAGCAGGTCTACCCTGCAGTGCAGTGTTAGGACATTTCTGTCTGGTTCACTTTGGCATTATTTAAGGCTTCTACAAAACAGAACACAGGACTCTACTGAGGCAACAGAGGGGACTTTTGCATTAAAACCGTCATGTAGCACTAAAACCCTTTATTGCAACAGACTCCACTTTACACAGTTAAACAGATGGCAGTACTTTTTCATAACATTCAGTCAACAACTTTAAGAATTTTCCTTTTTAAAGTTATTGGAAATATAATCATTACATGGACTCCAGAGAAATCACAATGAGACATACAATGAAAACATACAGTAAGAAATAAAGAGAATAAAACGAATACTACCTTGATCGCGACTTAGACTTGTGTTTGCGGCTTGCCTTCTTACCAGACTTGTGAGATTTTTCCGTCGACCTTGAGCGACTACGTTTGGATTTTTTAGATTTCTTTTCCTTGCTAACTTCAGGGGTAGGGGATCTACTTGAGTCGGAGTCTGAGCGCCTCTTGCTAGCTTTGACGGAGCCCTTCTTGCTGGCTTTGCTGTCCTGCCGGGAGTGCTTGTCACTCTGAGAGTCCGTGTATGAGTCACTCTCCTTCCTTTTCTTGGATTTGCCGTTCTCCTCTGTGACTACAGAGCTTCCCTTCTCCTTCTCTTTGGCCTTTGGCTTTTCTTTCTTTTTATCTGAGTCTTTCTCCCTATCCTTATCCTTATCCTTCTTTTTCTTGTCTTTTTCATGGCTATGACTCCTTTCCCTCCTCCTCTCTCTGTCTTTACTGGAGGCCTTCTGTTTGTGTTTGCTGCTGCGGCTGTGACTGCTGTCTCGACCATCCCGGCTCCTTTTCCTGTCCTTTTCCCTTTCCTTCTCCTTTTCTCTGTCTCTACTGCGACTGCGGCTGTCTCTGGCCCTGGCTCTGCCCCGGTCTCTCTCTCTGGATCTGGATCTACTCCTGCGGCTCCTGCGCTCCCTAGAATCACTGCGGTCTTTCTTGTGGCGGCCTGATCTCTCAGCACTACTCCTCCTCCTGTCCCTAACCTTCTCACTACGATGCCTGTGGGAGCTGTGGCTGCGGCTGCGCCGGCGAGCCTTGTGCGAGGAGGAGCGGCTACGCCTCCTCTTCCTTCGTGGGGAGGAGGATCGAGAAGAACTGCGTGAAGATGCTGAGGAAGAAGAGGAGGAGGAGGAGGAAGAACGGCGGCTGCTGTGGCTGGAGGTGGAGCGGGAACTGCTGCTATGACCGTTGGCTGGGGAATCGCTACCACCTCGCCCTGATCGCTCCTTCCCTCTGCCCGAGGGCTTGCTCTCACTATCCTCCTTCTCACTACGGGACCTACGTCTCTCTACCAAGGGCTCCGCCTCCCTCTCTTTTACTTCCTGTTTATGTGGATTCTCTAGTTGGCCCTCATCATATTCCCCCTTTTCTCTGCTCAATCTCTCCTTCACCATCTCTTCTGTAGAAACAAACAACAAACACTCATGTAAAAAAAAAAAAAAAAAAACAGGAAACATCAGGTGCTGTAAAGACCACGAACACATTACATAACTTTCATATTAATTATGGTCTTAAATGATGTTCAAGATGAAATAAAGTCAGCATTAGTTTGGATATTTTAACTCCTGGCCACACTGTGAGCATTTGCACAGGTTTAAGTATATTCACATCTTAATTCTATGTTTTAACATCATCATCTTTGTTATTTTATTACTAATCCAGCTTAAATTGAAACAGCAAATTAAGCATAATTGGTCAAAAAAAAAATATATATATATATTTTTTTTTTTTTTTTTTTTCATTGTACATTTTTGAGGTATTAGAGTCAAGGTATGTAGTGTGTTCCTAGTCTACATTTGCAGGGACACAAACATCATGTCTTACCGCGTGCAAGCAGAGCTTCTTGTGCTTGTTTTTCTTGAAGTTGCAGCGTCTCCCGCTCTTTGCGGCGGAAGGCGTCCTGCTTCTCCCGGATGCGGTGGCGCAACTCCTCCTCATCTGTGTCGGAGGATTCAGACCCTCGCACACTGCGTTCATCGTCGTCCTCACTCTCATCTGAACCATAGTCACCAAGCCCACCTGCCACAACAGAGCCCCCGGGTTGTTGAGAGTTGGAAAGCACCAAGATCCATTCTCACAAATCAGGTTTCTCTTTTGAAAGCCCTCAATCCCACCCCAAGCTCTCAGTGGAAGGCACTTAATCCTGTATAACTTTATATTTCAGACGGATAAACCCCATAAAAACGAATACATATAGCCCATTGAAACTAAAACTCGATAGAAATACGTTGTATTCAAGAGCATGCTTCTATCATAAAGTGCAAAACTAAACCCAATTCAGTCACTGAGATTCCACTTTTATTTGAATCCATCTTTAAGTTGGGTACTGTATTTGGGTGTTAGGTCTGGTGCTAAAAGATTTTCCCATGTTCGTACTAACAACCCCCAATAAATTAAAAATATTTTCCTTCCCTCCCCCCGGTGATAGAAAAGGGGATACTCACTGAGACCAGTCAGAGAAGCCAGTGCACTTGACTGTGCCAGCTGTTTTGCAGGAGCTTTGATTCACATCAACAACAGGAACAACATGTTAAAACACATACTGCCATTTTCTCAAAGGCAAGAGAGTTGCTAGAGAAGGGGGTCACAGATAAAGCACTATTCACAGCTGCCATTGGTAACAAGAGAGAAAAAAAAAAAAAAAAAAAAAAAATGGAGAAAAGAGAGAGGGTTAACAAACAAAATTCCGTCACACAATCCAAGTCAAACAGTCGGACAGGAGGGAAAGAACCAATCTGTACTAATGCACAGTCACTTCAATGGAGGAAGTCTCTTGTATGTACAGGTGACTGTTTGTCAGTCTGTGCCGAGACTTTATTCAGTCATATCTTACAGTCTTTCAGCAGGACCTTCAATACCATGTAACAGAAGACCAGGTTTTTAAATTCTGTTTGTATAAAATCATTCCTCTGCTCTCTCTCCTTCTGATGCATTAGCAGAGAATGGTTGAAAATGCATATCAGATATACTCCCACGTTTGCTGCTCAATCATCCCTCTTTACAGGGTATAACTGAGTGTAATTTAAGAGATTAGTATGCACATAATAGAATCTCTTAAGATTTAAATATAACGTCTTGGTGACAAGCATAGATGATGAATTAACTGGAAAAAACAAGAGCAGACCTCGAGTGGCTTTCCTGTGAGACTCTTTGGCTACGTGCTGGATCTCTTCATTAGTGACCTCAAGAAGGATCTCTGTCAGAAGTGTTTTTGTGATGATCATCTAGTGACAGGAGGGAAAAACATACAATCCATTATTTTTGATAAATCCTCAAAAATAGATCAACCACAACAGTCTACGTGCAGAGGAAATAATCTGAATGATCAAACTGACCAACTGGAATTCCTTTTCCTCCTCAGTCATTTCAGGCTCACTGTCCTCAGCAGCAGGCGACGGGCTCCGGCCAGAAAATTCTTTCTTCATGGAGGTCTTTTCTTCATCGTCATTGTCATCATTACCCTCATCGTCACTGTCCTGATGTAAACAGAAGCAAGGACTCATATTTAATCAACAAAGTGGAAAGTTGTGAGGGCAGCATTAGGTGTTTTGGGACTAAACGGTTCTGGGGAGCCCCCCCAAGAACTACACACCTTCAAGGGCTTTTTTCCTGTTTACAATCGCACCAGAATAGGAACGCTATACATACAACACTCATAAAAGTAACCTGTAACCCTTTTTTTTCAAAAGAAACAATTTTTTTGTCAAGGCCA